TCATTTTTCTAATTCTATTAAATTTAACTTATTAAAATATTATTGATTTTATTTTGAAAAGAAATTAGCAGAAATAGGGAAAAGTGAGTAGTAAGGAAAGTGATTTATTCATCTAACCGAGGGAGTATTGAAAACTGATATTTTTTTTAATAGAAATAGTCATCTAAACTTATTGATATTACGTTTTTTTTACAAAATCAGTCAATCCAATCGAAAAATGAAATCCAAACCACCCATTGATAATTTTCACTTTAGAATGTGTCTGACGATTTAAAGAGATAACATGAACTTAAAAGAATAAAAATAAAAAATATTAATGAATAAAACAAAAATGATTTAAAGGAAAATAAATTGAAGTAATTGAAATTGAATCAGAGAATATTAACAGGCGAAATTATTGACTAATGTTCATCTGAAAATATAGTAATTGCTATATTTAGGGAGTGAAGGAAGAATATAATTAGGATTAAATAATCAATTAATATTGCAATTTGAACTTTACTTTCACTTATATGATTAGAAGATTTTTATTTAAAGAAGAGGGAATTCTATAAACAGAATTAATTCTAGTCCTTTTCTAACAATATACATACATATATTTGAATCCAAGGCAAGATCGTAAAAAATTACCCAAGCTTCAATTTTGAAAAAGAGTTTGAAAGGATATTTACATAAATGAGCTAATAACAATTTTATTTAAATATTCCTTAAATTATTATTAAACAAGATCCTAAAAGGAATTTAAATCTTTATTGGCAGACTTATTTCAAATATTATTATAGCATATTAAATAGTGGTTGTATTCATTTTTGAGAAGCTCTTTATACTTTCATTTATAATTCTTGCTGTTTCTCTTCCAGAGGGGCATTTAACCAAAAGTGTTCAAATTTCCATCTATTACAAAATTAGGGAGTGTATTTAGGTTTTTATTTATCAGTAATCTTGAGAGTATTCGGCATTTTTTAATTTCACCAAAAACAAACTTATCCAGCAAAGTTGAAATATATATATAGTCATGAAAAGGGTTTAACAAGCGAGTTGGAGAGTTCAATCATATAAGTGAGGGATAGAAGCTTGGATAAGGTGACAAGTTAACCTGAGAGTAAAGTAATCATCCTTTTAACACCTCATACATACTAACTCTGGCTTACTTGGTTATTAATTGTAATTCCTAAATATTTAAAACTCTTTACCTATTCATTCCAATCATACTTTTTTTTTCATATTTCTCCATGCTATATTTTGGTTTTCCAAAATTCATTTAAAGGATAATCTTTTGATGCTTCAACCAAGAGGGTAGTAATTTTCACATACCGCTTCGATATCTAGAAATCAACACATCATCTGTTTAAGCCAGTATTTAGAGCAAATAAAAATTTGACCAATTTATCCTCATACCTTTAACCTCTCCTCATCTATCTTCAAAATATCAATGAGCAGTGTTAAAAGCACATTTATAAGAAGTAAATTGTAATAGGTTTTCAAAAGAGGTGTTACTAAAAAAGGATATTTAATGGGCACTGTCACTAAATTGGGTTTTTTTCTACTTCTCACCATTATAGATCTACATCTAATCATAGGTCCATTCTAGAGCTGTTAGCTTATTTCTGGAAAAAACACCAAAGAGTTCTTTATCTTCCCTAAGGTGTTTAAAGGTGATATCCCTCCTAAAAATATTCTAAGCATTCTATAAATCCAGTAATACAAGCATTCTAATAGCCTCTAAAAAGGTTTGTCTGGCATTCTATTTGGAAAACAAATCCAATTTTGCATGAATTCAGTAAATTTGAGCAGAGAGTCTTAAAACTTCAGACACAATTATTCTCTATAAGTTTAATGAAGTGGCTCTTAAACATAATTGTTCTGAGAGTTAACCTTTCAATGGAAGTTAAGGTGAATATAGTTTAACAGAAGCAATCTCGAATTGAAAAAGTTTTATTACTTCAAAATAGAGCGGTTTGGAAAAGTAATCTTCCATCATAATAAAACTAGTCAAGAACAAAGCCAACAAGATCATAGGTCGCTACGTTCTTATTCCTAGACAAATTTTTCAGCTGTTCATCTAAATATCTTAGGTAACAACTCTTAGATATTAGTTATATAGCATTTAAATTGATCCTTGTATCTTTATAAGTTCTTCAAAGTAAAATAGATAGGAACTTTTTTATTCAAAAGTGAAATCACAACATCTTCTGTTAGCATAGCATTCATGATTGACCTGTTTGCAGATCCTTTAATCAATTTTGAAGTTGCTTTGTATGGATTAAGTGAATCTTAAATTGATCAGTCTAATGTATAGTCAGAGAGGAAATGATGGGATGATGGTCCTACATTTCATTCGAAAGGAAATTTCGATCCTTAGTGGCCATTAAGTTGTCTCTACATCAAAAACATAATTCCATTCTCCTTAGTTTATTTTATCCCTTGTTCATTCTGGTCACTTAAGGTGAGAGGATATCATAATAGTGATTCTTGTTTTCAAACATGAGTAAATGTATACTGCTATAATTGCTTGAACATAATAAAATTTCAAAAATCCTTTTTCATTCCTTCTTGAATCCAATGATTGTTGAAAAATGCAAAGTATAAAAAAAATTGCTAATTAATGTGATATCACATCCTGAAGTTTACCCAAGTTACATTAACGGTGACTTTCTTTCCTGACCACTTGGTACATGAGGTTGAATTCCTCATCATTTTCAAGATTTACACTCTTATTATGTTAGCTTCTTAAATGATGATAATTTGATATTTTTAAAAATCGTTTACTTATGATGTAATGATCCAACTCATATTTTCTCCTGCCAATCTTTGGATATCTTTGTAGAATCAGATGAATGTGGATCTACTCTTCCCTAAACAGTTCATTCTCCTTTTTTATCCTCTATACATCTTTTAGTTCCAAAGATCAACATCTATAGTTCTCTAAACCTATGGTTACAATTCGACGCTTGGTGACCCGGGATACCTCTTGACTGCACTATTGAAAGCAGATAGGTCCTGTATCATTTTAAACTTAGGAAATTCAGAAACTTTTGTCATCTAAACATAAGATATTGAAAGAGATTAATTAGTTGATTATTTTGTATAGTTAGAATGAAAATATAATCGTCATTGATTCCAACACTAGTCAGCATAATAATTTTTATTCAAACTATTCCATAAAGTCACAACTTATCATCAAAGGTACCTAATTCAATTAATCCCATTCTTATAATTGAATTTGATCAAAATCTCATTTAGAAACCTTTAGAAGTAATAATATACACCTTACCAAAAGGATAATATTTTTAGGTGAACTAATACCTACTTTAAAATTCTTTTATAAATTTGAAAATTATATGCACAATAAACTATTTAAACGTGTTTGATTAATTTTTTTAATTTTTTATAATTAAAATACATAGATTTAATGCAAGTGATGCGATATCATAAAATAATGTCTCTTTTAATTCAAGCAGAAGCCTCAAAGTAACTCACTAAACATAGACTTAGGATATTATAAAACTCCAATTAAAATTCCCTTAGTCTGATGACTCATGTTAAAGGATTGGGTCAACTTGAATAATCGAAAGAAAGCTATCATAGACTTCCAAGTAGCCATT